TTGCATTTGCTGTTGCATAAGTATTGGCATGCTGCTCTCCTTGGATGCTGTCACCCTTGCCACTCAGTGACTTGGCTCTTCTTCCTTGTTCCATTCCCTCTGCAAATGAGCTTGACTGGGAGCTCTGCACAAACCCAATGGCTCTTTGAGGACTAGATGTAGCTATCATAACACATTCCTGGTTCATCCACAGGGATCTGCACAGGCTTGAGAGTTGTGCCCATATGAACCTCACGTGTGCCCCATCCCCAGTGCTGCTACAGGCCATGGATGGGCTCTGGGCAGCCTGCTCTGGTGGGGGCAGCCAGCCCAGGGCAGTGGTTGTGGCTGGGGGGCTGTAATGGCCCTTCCAATCCACCTGTGCTGTGATGCTATGAAACGGTTAATTCTAGCCTTCCCAAAGGCAGGGCTTCAGAAAGTTATTAAAGCCTGGAGATGAACTGAGTGACTCTGGCAATTTAAAACTTCAGAAGGATTTTTCTGCCCCACGCAGGTGCCGAAGGACGCCTGAGGCTTGGTGCCAGCAGGTGGCTGCCATGCGAGGCTGTGCCCGACCCCTCGCTGCTCTGCCCACCATCCCTGCTGCGTGCCCAGCGCGCTGCTGCTCTGCTCACCATGGGAGGATGCTTCTCCAAGCCCAAGCCAGGTGAGATGGAGGGATGAGGGGATGTAGGTCAGCGGCAGCTCCACGGGCACCGCTGGGGAATGTTAATTCTCTGCTCCTGCAGGGAGGATTACTGACTGCTAATCCCCTGAATTCCTGTGCTCAGCCTTCAGCTGGAGTCCTGCGGGGCTGTGGGGCCGTGTGGGGCTACTGGAGGTTCTGATGGAGGTTCTGGCATGTGCCCGGCCCTATTTCACTGCAATGTGTCCAGAGGCTGCTGACATCTCCCATCTCTCCCCCACAAACTCCTGTAGCGCATCTTGGGGCCAGGTGGGCTCCTACTGTTGTGCAGCCTGAAGGATCTGAGGTGTTGGTGTGATATGGGACATGTCTGTGAGCCACCAAGCATATCCAACCAGCAGTCCTGGCTTTGCAAGGCATGGGCACACAGGTTTTTTGAGACACAAAGAGAAAATTTGTGGTTTCTGCCACGTGTAGAGATGATTTCAGTGGACATCGCAGTGCCCAAGGAAATGGCACTGCACACTGTGGTCACGTTTCTATCCTCCCACTCACTGTAAGTTTTCCTCTTCTGAAGAACCACTCTGCAGCCTTCCTTGTTAAAAAGGTAGAGCACATCCGGGAATAAATGCCTCCATTGAATAAACTTGCAACAAAGTCTGCTGGCAGCTCCACTTTATTTTGTGTACCATCAGCAAAATTGTGTTTAATCTTGGGCTGATGCAGGAAGAAAAGCGCTCTGCGGGCGCATTTCCTGAGCTGCATATTTTTGTGTGAAGCTGTATTTGCATAGCAGGGCAAGTGGCTGAGAATGCCACCCTGTAATGGAACACTCCTTCTGCAGCTCTGTTTCTGATTAGCAGCCTTTGGAAGGTTTTGACAGCACTTCCCTTTGCTAGCACACACTGCAATGCTTCACCCCAGTGCTTATAAAACCTCTAAGTGCACCGAGATAAACAGATATGCATTTGCAGATGCTGATGGTGCTGGCAAACGTTTCACAAGCTTTGTGTGACGTTTGGTTTTCATGCTGGGCTCACATTCCTCCATGCCAGAAAGACCTTTTGATGGGCAGAAAACCAGAGCAGGAGACCCGCAGCAGCCAACAACTGCATGCACTGATATAAATATCAGTGTTTAATTCAGAGCTTGTGTTCAAGTAGTGATGTAATCTCTTATCTCCAGTGCTGCAGTCGTGTGACCCCACACACCATTCTGAAGCCTGGTTCCCAGTCTCTGCATAACTATTTCGGTGCTTGTGAGGGTGTGGGAGCTGCATGTTGAGGTTGTTCCTGTGCCTTACTGCCCTTGTGCTGGCTGCTGGCAGGTGGTAATGCATGGAGAGGCAGGGTGGAACCAGGCACATTTATCTCATGATTTTGTGATTAACTCTACCATTTTTAATGAGAATGATTTTGAGTTGCAGGCCACTAAAATGAGAGGGCAGCAGCCAGGTGCCCACCATGTCCCACCACATCTTGCCATGTCTCACCACATCCCACCATATCCCACCATATCTCACCATGTTTTACCATATCCCACCGCTTCCCACCACATTCCACTATGTCCCACCATGTCCAAAACATCCCACCACGTTCCCCCACGTACACCATGTTCCACCACATCCTACCAAAGCCCTTCACATCACACTGCCTCCCACAGTATTCACCACATCCAAACATATTCCATCGCATCCATCGTGTCCACCACATCCACCACGTCCCATAATACAATGAGTTAGTAATTCAGTGGAATTTCACTTCTTATGTCTTTCCTTTGGCTCGGTATGGGAACACAGCACACAGAACACTGCTTGGAACAACCCACTGCTTCCAGTATTGTGGGAGGGGAAAAGCAGATTTGTCCTGAATTGGGCAAGGGGCAGCTGCTGGCTCTGACCCCAGCAGAGGAGCTGGAGCATGACCTGACCTCACTGATCTCCATCACTTCTCTCAACTCTGCTATCTTCTCTGCTGAGCAAAATGCCAATTTTCCTTCATCTCTCTGGATCTACTCATTGGTTGTCTTTCTTTAACCTCTTTGGGTTGTGGGTTTTAATTTTTATCTTCCGTACAGCTTTTCCTGTTTGTGACATTTACAAGATAGGGAAAGTGCAATACTCTCCCACATACCTGGGACAGCTCTTTGGTCTCTGGCAATTAAGCCCAGCTCACTATAAAAGTCCCCTGGTGTTTATTATAAATATTAATGACTTTAGTCTCATGAGGAGCCTAGGAGATAAAGAGATGCTTTATGCCTGCTTGACAAATGTGAACATGAAATGCACTTTTTAAACTCACAGCTGTCACCTGGCATGATTGGTTCGAGATGTTAGAGCCTGGTTTCTCAGGCACCTGCTGTGACCATCCCTGCTCCATGGGATTTGGTGGCACCTCAGTGATGCTCAGAGCCTCTAATGAGTTGTGCCCAAGGAAAGGCCAAATGGCTGGTAGTATGAATGGCCATTAATGATTGTGGTCATTTGCATTTAAGTAAGCTGATTAGCTTCACACAGAAACCTCGTGCTGCTACTCCCAGGAGCAATCTCATTGCCCTGAGATTGTCCTTTCTCATGGTGCAGTAGCTTCTTCATTCAGTACAGGTCTTACAACTTCTTGCAGTAGCTTGGATGTGATCTGGGAGGTCTCAGATGGGGTCTGAGAGAACTGTGATGGGATCTGAGTGGCCTGAGTTGAAGTCTGGGAGGTCTGCAGTGGCATCTGGGAGATCTGGGAAGTCTGCAATGGGGTCTGGGAGGTCTGAGATGGATTCTGAGAGGTCTGGGAAGGGATCTAGGAGGCCTGTGTTGGGATCTGGGAGGTCTGAGAGGTCTGAGATGAGATCTGGCTCTCTGGACTTCCTATCCAGTTCCCACCACCAAGACCCAGTCTTTCCTCTCCTGGCCCCCAGTTCCATCACAGATGTTTCCCATCTCCTCTCATTAGCTCACCCTGGCCCTTCCATCCAGTGTTCCCAGGAGAATCTTTGCAATTTGTGTTTCTTATCTCCTGAGGACCTTTAATGTTCTTCAGGTCTCGTACAGTTCTCCTGGACCTCTCCACACCACTGCATGGGTATGAAGGATTCTCATTATGGAGAGCAGCTTTCTTCTAGGAAGCCATCACTTGACTTTATGCTAGCATTTATGGCCAAGAGAGCTTTTATTGTCAAACCTCTTAAATAGTTTAAACTTAAATAAACCAGACAACTCTTGCTTTCTCTGAAGATTCACTCCATGCTGAAAACCTCATGCAGAAAAAGTGTTGAGCATTTTTAATACTGGTTCCTTATTAAAGCCATCTAATGAAGCAGTTTTATACATCATGCAGTGTTGGCTTTCTCTTTCAGTTAATGTTATCTACCAACAAACAAAGGACTTTTTTGAAGTCTCTCTGAGCCCTAGAGGCCTTGGCATGCTCACACTTAACTGCCTGAAGCTATTGCCCATTAAACAGGACAGGAAGAGTGACAGAGGGATTGCTTTGCACCAGTGACTAATGCCTACTTGCAAGAGTATTTATGCATGCAAAGGTGCACAGCTGAGAAAGAGCAGTGGAATAATGGAATTGGGTAATCAAGCCAAGTTTGATATCAGATGTTTTATCTTCCCATGCAAGACAACAAAAAATGTCAATTCTGTTGACATCTGCCAGCCCCTTTTGATATCCAAGGGAGGAGGGAGAGGCGGAATGGCAGCAAAACTTCAAGCTTTGTTTTAATGAAGATTTCTGTTTGTTCTGTTTGCAGTTGAAGTGAAAATTGAGGTTGTGATACCTGAGAAGGAGAGGAGCAAGGAGGAAATGTCACCCAACGGGAAAGCCAGCCCATTGGTTTACAAAGTCAATGGGACTGCCCGGCATTACCATCTCGAGGAGCATCCCATTGCCAGCAATCCCTACCACAACCCAAAGGATGTAGTGGAAGCATCTGTGTGCCATGTGAAGGACCTGGAGAATGGACAGTAAGTGCCTAAAATCTTCATAGGTAATTTAAAAAAACCCAAAAGAGAGCTTAGAGCCAAAACCAAGCCTTCTACCTGGTTCCTCAGTTTCTTGAGATGATAATTTAACTTAATAAATACCATCACAGGTGAGTGACATCAACTGCTCTTTACCCCAGTGATGTGATCTTGAGGGTCAGTTCACCATTCTGAGCTCTACACAGTGCAGGTGTAGCCTGATTGCTGCTGGGGTTATTGCAGCAAGGAGATGCTGGGTGCTTGTGGAGACAACTGGCCATGTTTGGGGTGTTCCTAAAAGAGTGTGCTCTGCTTTGGTGCTCAGGTGCAAGAAGGAGGTTGGAAAACTAGGGCTTAGATAAATACGTTGCTTGGAAATGTGCAGTACAACAGAGCAAAAAGTTGCTGAGGAGTGTGCAAGAATCATTAAGGTTGGGAAAGATCTCTAAGACCATCCAGTCCCTTACTTACCTGGCTGTAGCAGAAAGCTCTTTGCTCAAACAAGCAACTGTAAAGCAAGGGCTGGAAACTGGATCAGTCAGGAATCCGAGCTTGCACTTCAGCTGTGAGTACATTTAACTATCAGAACCAAGCATTGCAGCAGCCTTCCCCTTGGTGGACATTTTAAATTGAGAATGGCTTTTTTTTCTAATAGTGTCTAGCTCAAAGTAGAGGTGTGTGAAAAGGTCCCATGGCTCATAAGCAATGAGTGAGGCCAGAGAAGTCCCTTCCTCCTCTGGAACTCAGAGGGATACTCAGGGATGCTGATTTCAATGGCAAGAGGACAGAGTGCCCACCATGGGGTCAGCACAGCCATGTGGCACTGCTCACCCTCTGAGTCTTTGGGACTGAGCACATGCTGAGGACTTTGCAGCTTCCTGTGTATTGCCTTTGAGATGCCAGTTCTTGTTTTTGACTCTTTCAGATCACACAGTTCCTTGGGTAAGTTTTAAACTCTCTCATTTATCTTATCTTATCTCCCTACTGAGTTATGGTTGTCGTTTAACGAGAAGCACAGGTTTTATCTGAAGTGCTGAGGAATGCAGCAGGACTTGTACTGCTCTATGCAAGTTGTGCTGACTGAAGGACATCCCAGTGCCAAGTGTCCTGCTCAGGAGTGGGGCTGCCAGCTGGTGGGGCAGATGGCTCCCAGGGCAAGCAGAATGAACTCCCTGCCCCTCTACTTCCCCCCACACCTGCACTTTGCTCTGGATTTCATTGGGTGTCTCAGGGATGGCACATGGGAGATCTCTGCATCTCTCTACAAGTACCTGAATGGAGGTTGAAACCAGGAGGGGGACAGTCTCCTGTCTTAAGGACGCCAGGAAATGGCCAACAGGAGGTTCTGATTGGGTGTCAGAAAGAATTTCTTCATGCAGTGGATGGTCTGGCAGTGGACTGGGCTGCCCAGAGTAGAGTCCCTGTCCCTGGAGGTATTTAGAGTGGATGTGGCACTAAGGGACACGGTTTGGTGCTGGGATTCATTAGATCAGGTTGATGACTGGACTTGATGATCTTGAAGGTTTTTTTCCAACCTAGATGATGTTCTGAAATGCTGCTTTCCAGCAGCGATAACATCATAACCATGTATCTGGTAGATGAGGGCACTGCAGTAGCTTTTTTGGATTTGCAAGCAGGGTGCATGATCAGCACAGGTGTGCTCTTGCCTAGGGCAGGGCTGACAACACCTGTGAGCCACCCAGAGCTGGTGGCAGGTGGGCTGGAGGAAGGAGGAGCTGGCAGGGTGGGACGGGGCTGCAGCACAAGGTGAGGGAATGGCACCAGTTCTACCATCATCTCTTTGTGCTCCTCTCCCCAGGATGCGTGAGGTGGACCTGGGCTGTGGGAAGGCACTGCTGATCAAGGAGGGTGGAGAGTTCTACGCCATGGGACACAAGTGCCCCCACTACGGGGCCCCACTGGTTAAAGGTCAGTCTGTGCCCCTTGCTGTGTGAATCAAAATGGGGAGCAAAGTGTTTGCAAAGCAGTCAGCCACGGGGATGCTGTGTCTCTTGCTCTGCTTCACCCCATCTTTGGGCTGATGTAATTCCTTCAAGCAGCAAAAAGACATGTCTGTGGTGTCAGTGGGGTGATAGCAGTTCACTTTGCCACAAACCAGCTCCTTTGGGCAAGGAAAGCCAAAGTCCAAGGCAGCAGTGCCTGAGCAAACACAAGGAATAACCCTGTTGCTCTGGACATGTGATTTCCTAACAGCTTATAGACTCCATGTTGCATGAGGTCTGTTCTCAAGTAGACTTGCTCTAATGGATGCTCTGCCTGAGGCACAGTTTGCTCAGGCTGGTGCTGGGTTTATAAACCCGAGTGCAGAACCCAGGAGACTGCAGCCCACCCCTGCAGGCAAGGATGTGCCACCGCTGTTCTGCTGTCCTTTGTGCAGGGGTTTTGTCCAAAGGAAGGGTTCGCTGCCCCTGGCACGGGGCTTGCTTCAACATTGGCACTGGTGACATCGAAGACTTTCCTGGCTTGGACAGCCTGCCCAGGTTCCAGGTGAGATCTTTGTTCTTATCAGCACGGCCTGTGTGGAAATGTGGACCCAGCACATGGTGGAATGGGCCTGTGGGCCCTCTTCACACCTCTTCCCTGTCTTGCAAACTGCTGCTCTTTGTCACCTTCAGGTGAAGATTGAGAAGGAGAAGGTGTACATCCGAGCAAGCAAGCAGGTGAGAGGCAGAGCTGCCCCAGAAGCAAAGCCAGAGGCTGGCTCTGTGTGCTTACGGGGGAATGCTGCTCTTCGAGCTCTCTGGCAGGGGAAGAAGTATCTGAGCAGATGGATATGTGAGCATCCAGAATGGGGAAACCCAAACTCTCAAGCAGCAGTCCTCTCACCTCATCCATTTGGCCTCATCAGCTGCATCAGAACACTGTGTGGCAATGCAGGCCACGTAATCCATCAGCTTCCTTGAATATTAAAGGCATTATGAGCTCAGGTGCAGGCTGAAGTTCCCGATTGAACTTTTGTATTTCCATTTCCCCTGCTGACTGCAGAATCACACAGTGGTCCACCTGTGCTGCTTTTCCTGTCTTTTTTTCCCAGTGCTTTGTCCCTGCATGAATTTGCCAACAGCAATAGATATTTTTTTTCTTTTGTACCTGGGAAGGACGCAGTGCATCGGGTAATGGGAAGGCATTTGGTTGAGCGTGGGTTTGGAGTCCTCACTGGATGCAAGGATGTGGGTGTTCCCTGGTTGGTAGTTCCTGCCTGGCTAATGACTGTTCTTCTTCTTGGTGGCATAGGCTCTTCAGACACAGAGGAGGACAAAGATGATGGCAAAGTGCATCTCCTTGAGCAACTACAACCTGAGCAGTACCAACGTGCTGATCATCGGTGCAGGTATCGAGTGGCATGTTCTGGGGCAGCACTGCGTGTCCCTTCCCAGTGTGGGTGTCAGAACAGCAGGATGTCCAGACTGACTTAAGTGATATGTCTCATATAACCAAATGTGGAACTCCAAACTGAAGAGAGGTGTCTGAGACAAGGCAGTCTGGAGGTACCCCATGTAGTTGTGCTGACATGATGTGTAGTAGGTAAGGCATACAGCTTGCAGCAGGATACTAAACCAACATGCAATTAGCAAGTTCTAGAAGTCCAGGAACGTGAAAGTCAAAGGGGAGCTGCAATCTCAAGCACATTTTCCATTCCTTGTGCCCATACTTTTTGTTGATGAGAACTGCAGTGTGATTCACACTGGCCAAGGGCAGTTGGGGTCTCCGTGGAGCATGGGATGGCCGTGGGCAAACAGTCATCCATATCCTGAGCCAAGCTGCTCAACAAGTGATGGTCGTTGTTGCTGAAAGAACTTTCTCAGCCTTGACCAGCTAAGCTGACAACTTTTTCTAAAGGCCAAGGTCTGTTCTGGTAAGCAGGAAAGGAGATCTCAAAGCTAGCTGGGTGGGAAGAGAATACCACAGTCCATTGCATGGGGTTGCTGAAGGCTGCCAACTGCTGTACTGCACTGCTGAGCTCAGAAATAGACCCTACTGACCCTGTGGAAATCCATGTAGGTTTGAATGAGTTCTTTCTTCCAAAACTTAAGTTTGTACGGGCAAAGGATTCAGGCCATCAGATACAGTGTATGCATGGCTGGTGTGGGTCTTCCTTCTTTCTTAGGTGCAGCAGGGTTGGTCTGTGCAGAGACGCTGCGCCAGGAGGGTTTCTCAGACAGGATTGTCATGTGCACGATGGACAGACACTTGCCCTACGACAGACCAAAGCTCAGCAAGGTTTGTACCACCTTGAGTACGAGTTTCAAAAATTGCACTTTGATATTTCTACTCATTGCACAGTTATGTTTCTTCTTAATTCATCCTGAAAGACGGAACACAAGAGGGGAGTTGTGCAAACTCTGTGCAAGGGATCACCAGCATGGGAACCAGGGTCTACCAGCAGCGATCTTGGCCTGCTCATTCCTGTATGGATCCTCCTATAGTGTTCCTCAATCAAAATCTTTAGAGGGATGCAATGGGGCTTGTAAACAAATGGTATAATCTACTGGGATTTTTACTTGTTTACATGTTTCTTATCCTTGTTGTGATTGGTTTAGACAAGTAATGCTCCTTGCTATAATTGTTATGAGTATTGCTTGCCATTGCAACTTGATAACTTGATCTCCATGCAAAGTTCACTTTTTTTCTGGCATACATTCCATTTTGAATGCCAATTTGTAGAGACAAGGCTGATGTTCTGATCACATTTTTATTTCTGACCAAGGCTTTGCTTGATACCAGATACCAACTCAGGTTTAACAGCAAGGTCTTGAAGCAGGAATTCAAAAAAGTACAGGCAGTGTGTGTATTCCCTTTTATGTCAGGGATACTTATCTAAGGGAGCTGGTAGTCAGCAATCAGAGCTTCTAACTCAGCTTGCAGCCCCCAAACAGAGCCTTTTTCAAAGGAATGCAATGATACACGTGGCTTTTTAAGAGCACTGGAAAGATCCATTAGAGGAGTAGCATATAAAGCTGTATGCCACAGGCTTCTTGCCTCCTGAAACTGCATCACTGCCCTTCCTTTCGCTGAATGTCTGCTATCAGTCCATTCTAAGCTTCCTCAGACTGCTCCCCTCTGTGCCCTTTGGACCATGACCAGCTCCTTGGTGTCCAGCACTGGAGAGCAGCAAAGCCCTCAGTGCCTCTGCACTGCTCCACGCTGCCCTGCTCACACACCAGCATGGGAACCTGTGCTCCCGAGCCGTGGGATCAGAAGTTCCTCTCTTAGTAAACACCAAATGTTTAAAGAATGTGCAGTAAAACCCATATGACCCTGCACCTGCCTCAAGACCAGAGATACAGATTTCTTCTGAGTGCACAGTTACCTGAAGTCATGGGAAGGGAGTGCCCCCTGATCCCAACCAAGTAGAGATGAAGGGCTTTGTATGTCCCTTCTTGGTATGCAGCTGGTGCTAAGGGTGCAGGTGGTGAAGCCCTTGGTTCATGGAGGAAATCTCTTAACAAATGCCATAAGGACTAATTTCAGATCATAGAGTCACGGAATGGTTTGAGTTGGGAGTGACCTTGTGCTGGGAGCAGGCGTTGCTCTGCTTGCTTTTTCAATTCACAGCAGTTGACAGAAAAATGTGCTTTTTTTCTTTTCTTTTGGTAGTCGATGGATTCCCACCCAGAGCAGATTGCCCTGCGTCCCAAGGAGTTCTTCCGCACGTACGACATCGAAGTCCTGACAGAAATGCAGGTAAGGAGAGTCCCACTCATACATTGTGGTCTCACCTGCTGACTCCTGATACAGAAATGCTGAATCTCCCTCATTCCCTGGGCTGTTCTGTGCCCTAGTGCTCAGTCTGTGGTTGTTCAGAACTAGAATAAATGCAGTTCTTCCCTGGGGGAACTCCACACTGATTGTCATTTCTTACCTACCATTTGCTGAGCAGCCTTGCAGGGATTTGGGGTGACCAAATGGTCAGTCTGCCTGCAAGCACCCAGGAAGTAATAAACTAAATATTTTTTCCTGTTATTTTATTTATACTGGGAGATCTTCAATAATTTGTTAAAGTCAACTAGAATGATATAAGGTCTGGGTTGGCTGAGCTGCCGATAGGAACCAAACCTTTAAAACGAGAGAACTACTCAATTAAAAATTAAAACCTATGTTATGGGTAGAATAGAGGCAGCAGAATTTCTCTGCAGAGTTCTGCAGAGAAAGAAGCCAGATGGTAATTTGTTAGACTGTCCAGGCCAGGCAGAGCATCACCATTCTCTTGAGGATCTGTCATTCACAGTGCAGATGTTGGCTTTTCAGAGAGGTTCACAGAGATGAGGTTCACAGAAAAGTACTCCTAAGCCTGCAGTGTGCTACCATCAGTATTACTCAATAACCATGTCCCTAAGACATGGATGGGCAGGCTCTGGCTCAGCATGTTGCATTTCAGTGGGTATCTAAGATTTCATCCCTTAACATGATTTAGAAATGATTTCAGGCTGCGGCTGTGGATATCAAGAACAAGACGGCTGTGTTCAAGGATGGATTTAAGATGGAGTATAACAAACTGCTGATAGCGACTGGAAACACGTAAGCCACAGAAAAACATTTCAAAGATCACGAGAAACTATTATATCTGAGAATCTGAGGAGCTTGTGCTTGAGGATGAGGGATCAAACATGGCACTTCAGTTCAGAAACCAAATTTGTTTGCAAAAATGTCTGCAGAGAAGGCAAACACATATTGCGTAGGTCTGGATCTCTCTCTCTCTAGCTTTGTTGGGTGTATCCACTCAACCAAAGCTGAGGATCAAATAATACATCCACTGGAATTTCTACCTTTCATTTCTGGCCGACCTTAAGATCTTTTAGGTCCTGTGCCTGGCTTCCTTGCAAACAAGTGCTGCTGCCACATCAGTTGGTAGGCTGACGCTGGGCAATGCAGCACTGCAGCCAAATGCACCACCACCTATGGAGGTGCATAAGCCTTTGCAAATAATTTCAAAATCCTCATGTCAAGCTCTGAGTACACTGGGTGTTTTTAATGTACCTGAATTATTTAGGATCTTCAGTCCCATTTCCAGATGGGAGTCGCGTATGCAAGGGCCGGATATTTAAAAATACATATGCCCCACTAAATGCATGGGGATGACAGCATTAAACTGCTACTGAAGCCGCATCTGCACAGGCTTATAAAACCTTTAAAATCTGGCTCCAAAGCTTCTACTGAAGGACAGAGTTGGCTGTGTCCCACTGGGCTTCTGAAAAGCTTTACTGCATGACAGCAGTTAAACTTAGAATTACAAAGCAGGAATTATCCTGCATCATGCTCCACTTACCTACGCAGTTTATCCTAGCCCTGTAGGGTTGTTCCACCAAACAGCTGCATGAGGGCTGTTGCTGGGGCTGAGGGCTCTTGCCATTGTCCTCCAGAGTTCAGGTTTTGCATATTATTTCTCCAGCCTGGGTGATTTTGCGGAGAAATGTGGCAAAATGTGGTGTTTTGGCTGCGTCTGGTTGCCTTGTCCTGGTGGACTGCTGACAGCTAGGTCAAGGTGTCTGCAGGAGCCCAGCCCAGATAGCTCTCCATTTGTGTTTTCAGGCCCAAAGCTCTCAGCTGTAAGGGCAAGGAAGTGGAAAACGTTTTCAACATCCGGACGCCAGAAGATGCGAACCGCGTGGTGAAGTTGGCCACCAGCAAAAATGTGGTTATAGTGGGAGCTTCCTTCCTTGGTGAGCTCTTGTTTTTGCATGGGGTTTGAGAGACCAATTGCAAACTGCAGATCATCAAAGAGAAGTTTCCAAAAACTCCCATAGAAAGAAAATGTATTGCGGAAGCTTTCCATGCAATCACCAGCTCCAAAATTGGTCCACAAAAATCCCCAGAGAAGAAGAAATACTGAGGTCACAAGGGCTGTTTTCACCCAGTAGCTCCTTACTTCTAAAACATTCTCAGCCATGAGGAATGTTTCTTTCTTCCTTCATCCGAGGTCCATTACCAAATGGTTCCTGTGGCATGCTGGGACTTCGTTAGGGCCTATTGCTTCTTGTGATCCCTAAAGCCCTCCCATGGCTTCCACCTCTAAGAATAAATTAACGTGAATGATAAATCCCATACGATGCTCAGTGGTTCTATAAAAGTGGTGTGGCCCAAGGCTGGGTGTGGGGACAGCACTGGACCACTGGGATGTGCTTGTGTTCCCCAGGAATGGAGGTGGCTGCCTACCTGACAGAGAGGGCCCACTCAGTGTCAGTGGTGGAGCTGGAGGAGGTCCCATTCAAGAAGTTCTTTGGGGAGAGAGTTGGCCGTGCTGTCATGAAGGTGACTTTGCTTTCCTGTCCTGACTTTGGTGTTGGTGAAATGAGTGGGTTCTGCTGGTTTCAGTAACTTGTGGGTGCAGTTGTTTTACGAGTGGATTTATTGATGGAGCCATGAAAGTGCTCCACGGTGCAAGCCCTCTAAAGACTGGGGTGGGAACCTCTCTGGGGTGTGTGTGGGTGAGGATAAGCCTCTTGCAGGGCAGGCATGGGACCCCACGGTGGGACGGGGCAGTGGGGGCTGAGGTACACCAACTCTTCCCACAGATGTTCGAGAGCCACAGGGTGAAGTTCTACATGCAGACTGAGGTGTCGGAGCTCCGGGAGCAGGAGGGCAAGGTATGGTGTGGCTGTGGATGAGAGACAAGCCACAGCCCCACGTATCACCCCATGGGTCTGCTGTCTCCTTCAGGGCTGGGTTTATGCACTCTCTTTCCTAGCCCCTGAAATTTCTACTCCTGGGCTTAGCCCACAGGAGGAAGCATGCTCCAGCCATGGTGTTTGGGGTGGTAACATTGCTCTGAGATCCTGGAGGGGCAGAGGAACCATCAAGGGTAACCCTGCTGGGACACTTCCTGGTTCAAGCTTTAACCCTGTCCCTAGAAAGCACCTGCAGGACTCCCTCAGAGGACCCCAAAACTCATCCTGTTGCCATTATGAGGGATTATACTCAATTTGCATGTCAGAAATGAAGTGAGATACTAGCTTGGCTTGCTGCTGCTACAGGGTTTCACTTTGTTGACTCTGAAATAACTGCACTTTCCCCTTCTCTCCTGTAAAGCTGAAGGAGGTGGTGCTGAAGAGTGGGAAGGTCCTGCGTGCAGACGTTTGTGTTGTCGGTATAGGTAAGGGGCCATTGCTGTGAGTACACTGTGAGGTCTTTGGAGTACACTGGGACACACTGGGAACCCTCTGGAGCATGCTAGAGCAAGATGAGGAGCTCTGGTAATGTTCTAGAGAACACTAGGTGGCCCTGGGAGGTCTTTAGGGTACCCTGGGAAGCTTCTTGGCTACCCTAGAGCACACAGAGGACTGCCAGGCCCATCAAGCCAGTGGTGGTTTGCTCTGCTAGTGGTGGTAATGGAATTGCAGGACCATAAGAAGAGGGTATTTTTCTCCTTTACACTTGTGGAGAGAAAGGTCCCTACCTAATTGTAACTTTTCTACACTTTGCAAAAGGGACCAATCGCAGGATTCGTATTTCATTCCCCTGGGGTGTTGCTTTATTGACTGCTCCACAACAGAGCAATTTGTGGAGTCTAGAGGGAAAAAGGCCCTTTGCTTTCTCCCACAGGTGCAGTGCCAGCGACAGGATTTCTCAAGCAGAGTGGCATCAATATTGACTCCAAAGGCTTTATTGTGGTCAACAAGGTGAGCATGGTGGTGAAGCCAACTCCTCCAAGCTAGACTTGCCTTGGGCTCTGAGCCACCAGCATGGGGACAGTCTGTCCCCAGATGCTGAGATTATGGATATTGCCATGTGTGAGGTTTGCAGAGCCCAGTCATCTTGGTGCTGTGGGTGTCCACATCTGCACACCTCCCACCCCTGGGGACCTTGAACAATTCCCTGCCGGCTGCCAGGATAGGGTAAAAATCCCACCAAGGTGTCCTTCTGCTTCCTCCCATCAGATGATGCAGACCAACATCCCTGGAGTTTTTGCAGCTGGTGATGCTGTCACATTCCCACTGGCCTTGAGGAACAATAAGAAAGTGAATGTCCCCCACTGGCAGATGGCCCACATGCATGGTAGGTGTATCTGAGTGCCTTCGCTTTGCACAACAAACTGCTTGCAGGAAAGAACCTTCTCCATATCCACGGGAAATTTCCAACCCTTTAGGAAGAGAATGAGACAACTGAACGCTGGGAAACAGAGCAGTTGTAGGAAACTCTGGGAAAAATATATTTTCTCCTGTCTCCATGCTTGCTCAGGCTCAGAGCTTCCTCATTTACTCTGCTGTTTCTTGTCTTCCAGGCCGTATTGCAGCACTGAATATGCTGGCTCATGGCACGGAGATCAGCACAGTCCCCTATTTGTGGACTGCAATGTTTGGGAAAAGCATTCGATATGCAGGTAGGGTGTGGACTCTGTGCTGGTGGAAGTGTTTTGGGACACAGAAGTCATGGCCACCTTACAAGGCCACTTCCAGCCCCCTCAGCTGGCTCAGGGTGATGTGCAGGGACACCTCTTGTTTAGTAAGGCATGAAGGGCCTTGTGGACATGGAAAGTCTCCCTGAACATGAGTATATTTGAGCAAGCATGAATGATTCTTGATCCCTCTGCCTTCCAATGCCCATCTCTCAGTGACTGTGGGATGGCTGCCTCTACTGTAGCTCTGAGTTAAAACACTGTTTGCTAGGGCCAGGGCTGTATCCAGGGGAAAGAAGTGAAGATCAATCTTTAATACCATAGTCAAACTAAGTAAATGACAAGCAGAGCAAGACATTTGCTGTGGAACAGTGTTTTCTTAGCAACAGTGCTTCTCCCACTCATAATAATTTCATCTTTCAGGCCATGGGGAAGGATTTGATGATGTTGTCATTCAAGGGGACTTGGATGAACTGAAGTTTGTTGCATTTTATACCAAGTAAGTGTTTCTCCTTTCTCTTCTCCATGTCCATTTGTCTCAGCTTGTTCTGCTAGGCTGGAAATTATTTTTGCTAGAGCATTTTCCAGTCAGTTCTGCTCCAATCTGGACACTGAGGTTGCAGGGCATTAATAAATTGCAAGTACAAATGCATTAATGCCAGGCACTAGAGAAGCAACTTGCTGAGTATTTCTCTCCAGCATACAGTCTTCTTTGAAGCTTCTTCCCACCCTTCCTTTCCATCCTAGGGCACAACAGATGCAGCTATTTATCCCAACCCTAATTAGAAAGGAAATGCCAGAGCACTTGAATAAAACATCTTTGGAGCTCTTTCAAGAGCAAGGTGAATAATCCCCCTGCATGGTGCAGGGCCTCACGCTGGGTCTGCGGGGCGGGCGCTGAGCGCTGCCTTCTTCTGCCACCCAGGAGGGGCCCCAGGAGATGGCTTTGGTGTGGCAGGACGGCACCGTGCACCGAGAGCTGGAGGTACTGAGGGGTCCAGTGAGCTTCTCTCAGCCACAGCCCCATCTCTGCTTCTGCCAGAGGTGACTGGGAGCGTTTCTTTCCTCCTTTCCTCGTCATTTGGTGGTAGTCCTGCTACTGGTGCTAATGCTTTTGGATGAGGATGCTGTCCCCAGGTGGCCGTCTCCTGTTTCCCATGTCTACCTGTTGGCTTAGTCTCTTCTTCTGGTGTCTGCTGGTTCTTGCATGAAACGCTGGTGGTGCCCGTTGCTGGAGCCTGCCCTGAGCATCAGCTTTCACAATAGAACTCTTTTCTTTTCCAGAGGTTGAAGAACAAAACTGTTTATCCCCATTCAGTGCTGAGGATGAGCTGCTGAGGGGTCAGCCTGGGGCTGTATGCAAAGGACAGGGTGCTCTGCCATTGTCCTTGTGAGACAGCACAGCACCTTTGCCAGAACAGACCACTGTTATCCCAGTCTGTAACTCTCTTGAGCTCTTGGGAGACCCAGCGAGCAGCTGTGGTTGCCTTCCTCGTGGCACCCCATTTCCACTGTATTGAACCCTACAGAAGAAGGGAAGGCCATGTGCAGATGGTGCTCATCCCCAGCAATTTACTGCCTTTAGGCCAAGACTTCTGATTGCTCCCCATTCCCTCTGCATAGAGCGTGCCCTTATGGCCTCAGAAGACCTCTTGAAAAAGAGGGACTCCTCCTTGTCTCAAACAAAACGTTTCAAAGTCACTGCTGATGTGAGGTGCTCCAGTTCACTACAGCCCTGCACATTATTTCACAGAAGGACCGCCTGCCCCTTGTCTTGCTGATGGAAATGGTTGCCTGTGTCAGTACACAACAGCATCTCATAGTGGGGAGAGAACCTCCCTGATCAGCTGTCAGTGCAGGGTCCCATAGCACCTGAGTTCATGGTGTTCCAGCAGATACTCCCAATCCATGGTGCTCTTCTTGGGGGCTATATTAGATATTAGTGATCTTCTGAGGGACGTGAGTCAGAGGGCACGGTGGTGATGAGTGGATGGTTGGTAGGACTGGATGGTCTTGTTTTTTTCCAACCTTAACTTGCAGTTGCACAGAGGACAGAGTGTAGTTTAAAACATCATCCAGCCTAGGATTTGCTGCCTCCTTTCATACTCTTGCCATTTTGTGCATGCGTTAATGGCTAAAACATGGAATAAGCTGTGGAAGAGCTCCAGTGAATCTGGAGCAGATGCTGGGCTCCCAGTCTGGACAGGGTAGCTGTGGTGGTGTTTCCCTGTGGCAGTGGACTGATCCTGGTTTGTTGGGTGCTTCCACACTTCGGCTTCCTGAGCAATGTCTCCAGTGTTTAATATCTCACTCATGCACCTTTCCCGATCTTTACATTGTTTATTCTGTTCCTAATTGTGAGTCAGACTTTGAAGATTTATGCTCAGGCTGACTTCTGCAAATCTCAGAGCAGAGGAACCCTTCTCTTTTGCTTTGTGACCTTTACCCAAAGCTCCTCTGGTATTTTTACACCTTTTCTTCTGCTTCATTCATTTCACATTCACCTTTTGATCTCACGTTGTACCACCAGTACTGGGGGTATGGGCAAGTGATGGTCAGCCAGACTGGGACACACTGCCCACCATCAGCTCCATCTCTCCTGGTGTTACTCCATGGGCCAAGGTGCCCAGATCTGTCTCCATCCTTCTGCCCCTGGGTGCTCAGGGTCCCACCCCTGGACAATGGCACAGAGGCAGCTCTAGGCATCCTGGTGAGCATCACCAGGCCAATACACAAACTTATCTGAGACCACAGTGGGGTCAACCAGCTCCAAGCCCTCTTCTGTCCTTGTCCCACACCACAGCCAGTGCTCACACCTCAGAACAGGTCCCATTTTCCTTTGCTCCCTTCCTCTCTCCAGCATGTTGCTTTTGGGTGATGGAGATGTCCCTGTAGGGGCTGCCCTGACCTCTCTGCTCTCCAACCCTAGGAGTGATGAGGTGGTGGCTGTGGCCAGCATGAACTACGATCCCATTGTCTCCAAAGTGGCTGAGGTCCTGGCTGCTGGCAGGGCCATCCGAAAACGTGATGTGGAGTAAGTGCATGTGGTGTGCCAAGAGCTGGGCTGGGGAAGAGCCTGGAGAGGGCCACCTAACCCTGAATGTCTTTTCTCTCTCTGTCTCCTGCTGCATCTGCACCTTTTAGGCTGTTTGTCCGTCACGGCAAGTACGTTCAGTTTTGGGTCCTGGGTCTGTGTGGGGTATTGCAGGTGTGCCACATCTCCAACTCCTGCACGGAGACGCTGATGATGGCCATGTGCTTGTATTGCAACTCAAACCTGCTTGAACTGTTTTTGCATGCGGTGGAAGTGCAGGCAGAGGAAGGGGTGCTGCACAGCTTGGAAAGCTCACAGTGCTGCTCGTTTTTTGTCTTCATAGAACTGGAGACATGTCCTGGCTAACGGGGAAAGGCTCCTAACACAGACATGACTGCAACCTCCTGATACTGCGCTGGCCTCGAGGAGATGGGGATGGCTGCAGAGCTCCACGGCACGATGCAAATAATGCACCCGAGTCATTTTCCCTTGAGACTTGGCCAAACCCAGCCTTTTTCACCCAGCAGTCACCTTCCCAGCAGCTCTGTGCATGCAAACTGCCGCCAGCTCTCCTGGCCCTGCAGCCAGGTGTGGGGTCAGTGGGTGGAATTCCCACTGAAAAGTCAGAAAAACAGACTCTGGGGGAGCAGGGTTGGCACCAGCATGGCTGGCAAGGAGCTGCAGACTGCTGACATGGGTGCCACGGTGCTGATGGGTGCCACATCCATGCTCTCCAAGCGGCACAACGAGAGCCCCAAGCACATCCCTTCACCCTATGAACAGCATGAGTGCCTTTTGTTGTTCTCTGTGGCCAGTACATGCTCTCAAGCACATTGCTCCTTCCTAGATCCTCTTTCCTCCCCATGGAACCCAGCATCTGCACCTTCTCCTTAGTGGTTATGGAAGGATTGATGTTGCTGCTGACATGCTACTCCAGGAAGAATAGTTGGAGGAGTATTTCTGGCTGTTCTCTGCCCTTAGTCATTTACTCTTCCTGTCTCCTTGTGGCAGGGCTACATATCTCATCTCAGCTGGCAGTGTCAGTGCTCTGTGGCTTGCTGCTCCTGGCTGGCAAGAAGGGCCCTGGTTCTTACTCAGGAGTGGAGGTGGCCAGTCCAGATCCCTGTGTTTGTCCACCCAGCAGAGCCAGGTGTGAGATTCCCCATGGACAGCTTCCAGTTCCACAGCTCCTTTGGGAGCTTTGTTCCCCATCTGTCACTGCATTACCCTCAGCCCAAAGCCAGAGAGTTGTTATTTTCAGTTAGATTCAACCCTCCCTTATGAATGAAAGCGGTGCTTCAGTTGTGATCCAGACCTTTTCTGTTTCCTTCCAAGCCCAGCAGCTTGACCAGGTGGTGCCTGCACCTCCTGTGCAGGATTCCATTGGTGTCCCATGTCCTACTCATTTCCAGACTTTCAGATCTTTGCTCAGATGGCAACATCAGCAGACAGATGTCTGTCACATCACCTCTTGGTCCCCTCTGCTTTCACTGCTTTCACACAGTGTGAAAGAGGTGTGACCAGTGGTGGCAGTAGGCAGGGATGTGGGCACAGTGCCCAGCTGCTGCTTTGGACCCATGTGCCCCATGGGCAGATGTGGTTTTGCATCACATTTTGCATGGGGCTGCTGGGGTGGCCAGATGCAATCCAACAGCATTGGGATCATTTACCTGCTATTGCTCTGCTCCTTCTTTCCTCATTGTGTGTCCTGACAGCAGCCCCAGCACAGCAGCTCTGTGTGCTCCCCAGCAGAGCCTGGCTGAGCTTTTCCAAAGCGGACACCTTTCTGCTCACCCAAAGGCACCATCCTCTGAAGTCCTCCCAGACAGATTTCCAGTGTGTTTTGCTTTTCAGGAAAAGCACATCCTGTCCACATATGGCCAAATAGACCAGCAGGACCTCATGGGCTTTTCTACTGGTTCATCAGCCTTCCTCAGTGCACTGTCCTAGTCTAGTGACAGACCAGCACTCAGAGCATGCTGTATTTACTCCATACCTTGTAATGTTGCCTGGGATATCCATGTAGCATAGGGCTTTTTCCCACAAGGGAGCCCTTGGTGGGCTTCAGCCAGGTGTGCACTGATCTCCTAGCACTCCCTCCTTCTTCCCAGCAGCCTGTGTGATGTACTCCACAGCTTAGCTTTGGCTTCAGCAAGTAGAAAAATCCTTTTTATTTGGTTTCTCACATCCCTTACCAGGGTCTGTCCCTTAACAACTGCTTTGCAACGGCCTCAATAGCAGCAGCAGCCAGACCAGGCACTGGCAGCAGCTGCTGCCCGAGGCACCTCCTGGGATGGGGTGAAGGCTGAAGATCACAAGGAGAGCCATTGGGGGCTCACACCTGTGTGGGGACCCACACGTCCATGATGGGGACCACCTGCTCCAGTGGGGGTAAAAAGCTCCATGGGCCTGGGGACTTTAGGACTCGTTTCTGGCAATGTCACCTCAATGCCAGCATGGAGATTGCGGAGCACTTCTGCTGCAGTGTCCCTTCTGCAAGGTGAAGGGTCTCAGGGGATGGGACACATCCACATCCGTCAGGGAATTTTAAGCAATAATGATGCTGATACAATGCAGCGGGGAGAGGGTGCAATGGGGCAGAGTGCTGCATGGAGGGGATGGTGGTGACAGAGGGACAGCCACCACCTGCTGCTGCCCCACTGCTGGAGATGCTCTGTACCCTTGGGCTCAGTGTCTGGGAGCTCTCGCTGTGGCAATAAAGGCCCTTCCCCAGCAGCTGTGTACCACAAGAGCCAATGGCTGCCTGGCCCCACGCATTACCCTGAGCAGTTGCTGCCTTAATTCCCCTCCTGCTAATCCCAGCTTTGCTGCCAGCCATGGCTGCACACACACTGCTGCCCCACAACCTGCGCCGGGGTCTGACGGCCTTCAGTGGTGCCCTCTTCACCACCAACAAGACATGGGACAGCAGCACTGCTCACCTCTACCATCCAGGTACCCCGGGGAGTTTGACTCCTGCATCCACGCTGTGGGCAGCCACGGGTACCCTCACCCCCAGCAATGGCTGGCAGCGAACATCAGTGCTGTTGCACTGGGGCTGGGATGCAGGGGGGGGATGATGGGGGTACTGGGGATCCTCCCCAGCCCTGCTTTTCTCTGCCCAGTGCATGAGGTGCTGGCCAGCCTGCCCCTCCAGGTGATGCTCTACTTCAACGTCTGCTACTTCCCCTGCTGGTGCCTGGCTGAGGGCATGATGCTACAGCTGAAGGTACCCTTAGGTTTCCAAGGGGGAAGGCTACGCTGGGAGGGCAGAGTGAGCAGGGCTGGGGACCAGCATGGGGCTGGCAGAGACAAGGCTGTGCCCTGTTACAGTACAACCTGCTGCCCCGCTACTACCAGCTCCTCCTGCTCGCTGCCTTCCTTATCCTCACACTGGCTGAAGGAGCCCGGCTCTACTTGGGCTACATTGGGAACCTGCAGGAGAAGGTAAGGGCTGGCCCAGTGCTCCATGCTGGATGTCCCCTTTGCCCAGGGTCTGAGAGCCCATCACCTCCCTTCCTCCTTGAATGCCAATTCACAGAATCACAGAATGGTGAGGGTTGGAAGGGACCTCAAGGATCATCAATCTCCAACCCCCTGCCACATGCAGGGCCACCAACCTCCCATTTAATACCAGACCAGGCTGCCCAGGGCCCCATCCAATCTGGCCTTGAACACCTCCAGGGACGGGGCATCCACAGCCTCTCTGGGCAGCTGTTCCAGCACCTCACCACTCTCTCTGTAAAGAACTTTCCCCTGACATCCAATTCAGGATGCTCCAGGGGGTTCAGCCCCTGCAGAGGTGTCCCCCACGTACCAAAGTTTCCCATACATCTTCACCAGCCTCTGCCCACACAGGTGCCTGAGCTTGCTGGCTTCCTTCTTCTCTCCATCCTGATCCAGCTGCCCCTCCTGCTGTTCCTGCTCACGGACCACCTCACCATCCGCCTGCCGCTGGAGCTGGCCGTGCACAGCCTTCTCCTGGCCTTCCTCATCTGTGAGGTGGTGGCTGGTTTCCAGGCACTGCGGGCAATGAGCAGGCAGCTGGCAGCTCAGTTCTACCTGCGGCAGTTCAAGGTGGGCAGCCAGGGTGATGCTGCAGGACACAATCCACCCTACTGAGCCCAACAACATTAAACAGCACCGGACTCAAATGTGCTTCTGAGCACTCATTTCTGAGCCAGGCAGCTCTGGGGCTCGTGGGGTTCCCTGAGCTCTGCCACCAAGAAAAGGGTACGTGTCCATGTTGATTCCTTGTAGGGCAGAGTTGGGGTGTGCAGCTCAGTGCTTGCAGGATGCAGGTGGACTTTGTGTGACCATACAAAGGATGCAGGGCTCCAAGGGAAAGAGCATGGCCAGAGCCACCTCCCACTTTCTGAACAGCTTTATTTCAGTGCATCCCTGCCTTTCACAGGGCCGAGTGGGAAGGGAAGAAGCGCAAAGTGCTTTAAGCCTCTTGTGCTGAGCACGGACTGACCCCATCCCAGTGAGCCCCAGCAGCAGCTCTGCAGCACGGCCCTGGAGCTGCATGTTGTGTCAGGAGGACTCTCCATATACTCTCTGTGCACCAAGGACTTCTGCTGATGCTGAGACTCCTTCAGAAGTGCAGCACCCAGCCCCAGTGCTTGGCCAGAATTGGGCCACCTCCTGCAGGGCCAAAGCTGTGCCCCATCACATCTACCTGCAGGTCATTCCAGTGTGCATTGCTGAGCATCTCCCAGGTCCTGGCCAGCCCTCTCTGCCTCAGCTGTTGCTTCTTTCTTACCTTTGGGAGGTTTTGCCTGCAAAATGAACAGGGACATTTGCTACAGCCCAGGGGATGCCCAGTCCCTGCCCTACTCTGCCCATTCCCGTGCTAACAGTTCCATTCCTTCAGGCTGACTTGAGATTCAGGTTGGAATCAGGCCAAATGTGTTTTCCCCAGTAGGATGGTGCAGCCCTGGGACACTTCCCCAAGGAGCTGGAGGTCTTCAGCCTTGGAGGCTGCCAACACCCTGTCTGAGAAAGCTGAAGATGCCCTAAGCAAGGGCTGGCAGCAGACCTGCTCTGATGGGGAATGAGAGAGTTCTGGAATGGCTCCCAGTCCGCCTGGGCAGTGCCAAGCAGACATCACTCACAGCAAGAAAATCTACAGCATCAACATTGACACAGCTCCCAGATCTGCTGACCTGAGTTACAATCAAAGGGCAAAAAGCAATGAAATCAGCTCACAAACCTCAGTTCTCCCAGGTGGTTCCACAGCTCATCCTTACCTCCTCAAACTTCTCTTTCCAATAGAAGTCAGCCTTCGCATCCAGGTAGAGCAGAACTAGGTCACAGACCATGGTGGCCTAGAGGGGGGACAAATGGAGCAGAGGTGTGGAATGCTGTGGGTCAGGACTGGTAGAGGGGAGAGCCACAGTCTTAGCCATGCAAGGGACAGGGACATCTGGGGGAAATGAGGGCTGGTGGGGGACCCCATTACTGGGTCAATGGCATCAAGTGCCAGGCATGCTACACTGGGCTGCACATCATGTTTCCTGAAGCTAGGAAGCTGCAGATGGGCAGCAGATCATAGCCCATGGATCAGAGGAAAAGAGCATCTTCAGTACTCACGGTTCCAAAGAGCGCGATGCCGGTGCCGAAGCTGACAGCAGCAGGAATTATGCCAAACTTCCCAGCCTGATGAAAACAAAGGGTGGAGGAGAGAAGGCAGAGAGCAGGGAGAGGGCTGTGAGGAGCCTATAGGGAAGCTGTGGGGCTGCAGGAGGAGCGCTGCAGGCAGTGACAAGGAAGGGGGGTTCCATGCTACCTGGCCGTGCACAGAGATGTCAAAGCGGATGCCATAGAGCTTCAGCAGGCTCCGGTAGTGCTGCCTCTGCGAGTCCCAGTAGTAGGAGGCCGTTCTGCAGAGGCACACAGGGCTCAGCCACACATCCCTGCACCCAGCTGGGCTCAGCACGGGCATGGCTGGCTTAACGGGTCCAGTCTGCCCTGCTGCTCCTTTCAGGGCAAGTGAGATCCCAAGTGACAGCAGTGTGCCCATCCCAGCGCCCTCACCTGAAGTTGTACCTCCTGTCCAGCAGGATGAAGGAATAGCGTGGCTGGCAGTGGGCAGCAGGCTGGTCCAGGTCACAGTCCCACTCAATGCGCACGCTGATGCTTCCTCCCTGCAGCACAGCAACACATGTTATATTCCAGGGACTGGAGATGTCACATAATCACGGTTGAAAGGGATCTTAATGCCCCCCAACCCCAACCTATGCCCTGGGTTGGTTGCCTCCTAGCACACCAGGCTGCCCAGGGTCCATCCAGCCTGGCCTCTTTTGAGGAATTAGAATCATAGAATGGATCAGGTTGGAAAAGACCTTAAAGATCATCGAGTCCAATTAGCATTAGCAGTCATCTTTTATGCTTGAAAAGAAAAAGAAGCAAATACCAGCAGTGCGAGGGACCCAAAGGTCTCCCCAGCTGCTTCCACCATGTCACGGATACGGAACACAGGGCAGGAAGGGCTGAAAAAGGGATCGTACATGCAGGTCTTGAAATAGGTGGGGTCATTGGTCTGCAATGTGTTGCCCCTGAAACAGGAAAAAGAGAGACAGAGGGGTGGTATGCAGCCCCTGGCATGAGCTGAGCATAGAGGCTGGGCCAGGCAGCACACACTAAGGACTGGAGGGTGTCAGACTTACTTGGAGAAGTTAAATTTGGTGAAGTTGACAGTATTTTTTATAAAAAGAGTGAAATTCTCTGCCTCAGCCAGAAGAGGTCTCCTGCAAAACAACAAAGCCCTGGGATTTGGGCTACATTGGCAGTGACAAAAGACCAGGAATCATGGAACCATTAAGGTTGGAAAAGACCTTGAACACCTTGAAGGACCATCCTCATCCCTGTGCTGTACCTGGGCAGGGTGTCATTCTCCACGGGGCACCAGCCAAAGATCTCACAGGTGGAATGGGTGCTGTTGAACATCACACATTTCCCAGTCTTAATCCCTAGAAATGAGGCAACCCGAATCATGCCCTTCTAATTTAAGCAGCCTCCAGGATTTATTGCAAAAGGGCACTGAACTTGGGCAATGAGGCATCGCTATGGAGCTGGAATTGAATGATTTCATTCTATTTTTGAAGCAAAACATGTAGTACCATTGCCGTGAACCACTGGGTTCCCAACAGGACAATCCACATCTTCCATGCAGATCCCATCCAGCACAGAGGGGCTCTGAAAGAGACAGGAGAGAAGTGGTCACTGCTGCGGAGCCCCTTAAGGCTCACAGCCATTCATCCACATCTCCATGCATGTCCCAAATGCTTCCAAACCAGCAGCACAGTTTCCCCCTCCCCAAGCTGGGATAAGGGGTTCCCCAATACAGCTTATGGTTGGGTTGGAAAGGACCTTAAAGCCCACCCACTGGTTATATGTGAAGAGGTGCAAACCTTGGGAATTCAGCTACTGAAGTCCAGTGCTTTAGAAAACCTAAATCTGGCCAAGATTCCTTCAACATACCCTTCCTATCACCTTCTAGTAAGTCAGCCTTGAAAATCTATTGGTGATGGTGTTTTCCAGGGGCACAAACAGAACCAGGTTGCACGTGCTACAAGCGCATGGTGAGAGATGAGATCTGCTGTGCAGAAACCCTCGAAACTTCAGGGCTGAAGGGTTTATTGGGGAGCACAGAAAGTAAACGTACCTGGGCAGAGAATGTCTTTACTCTTCATCTTTATCAGAAACAACTGCTGATTCTTCAACAGCTGCACAGCCATGCACTGCAGCCAGGAAGCAAAGCCAGCCTTCTTGGAGAGCAAAGCACCAATGGCATCAAATGGGAGCAAACAGGGAGGCAGCTTCTAAGACCTAATCCCCATCTCACCTCCCTTCATGAGCAACATCCCAACGCTCCCTGAGCTCCAGCAGCTCAAGGTTGTGCCCACAGCCCTGGGGAGCTGTGCCATGCCACACACCACTGCAGACTGGGGAACCACTGTGCCCAACTCCTCCTATACAGCCCCCCAGCAAGGCTGCTCACCTCGGGACAGGTGCCCTGAACCTGCTTGTCCGTCACAATGAAGTTGGTCACCAAAAAAAGCACATTTTCTCCCTGCGAGGCAAGAAGACACCTTCAGCACTGCACTACTGCAGAACACACTTTAGAGCTTCCAACTTCTTTTTCGGGCAGCAGAGCCGGGAAGCTTTACGGGGGGGTTGCAGCCGGGGCTCGCAGAGATCCCGCGGTTGTGGCACGGGTTCGAATCCCGGCGAGGGACGGACCCGAGTTCGAATCCCGGCGAGGGACGGACCCGAGGTCCCCGAGTTCGAATCCCGCCTCCTTACCTGCGGGGGCCTCGAGAAATCCGCCGCATCCCAGAGCCGTCTCCTCGCGTCCTCCGCCCGGCTGACGGACACTCCCTTCAGCTTAGTGACGACCGAGACGTGGGGGGCGGCATCGGTGTCTTGGTAACCCCTCCGCACCACGAACACCCACCTGCAGACGGGCGGAGCGGTGAGCCCGGCTCGGAGCCGCTGGATAAAGCAGAGCCGATGGGGCGGTCCTACCCCAGCACGTAGCCCAGCACGGCGAGCTGCAGCAGGCGGTGCAGCAGCCCCACGCGCCGGTTCCTCGTCAACGCGAACTTCTCGGTCTTGTAATCCAGCAGCTCCCCGCACAGCGCTGCGCCTCCGCCGCCCGACGTCGCCATGGCAACAGCGCGGGGTCCGGAGATGGCGGAGGACCGGAGCTCCGCGTTCCGCTTTTCTCCCTCACATCGGAAGCACGGCTCGTATCTGGCGGCGTGCCGGGCCTGCGGCATCTGCCCGGCTTCCTGTCTGCTGCCCGATCCGCCCGGCCCTGCGCTCGTCCTGCGGCACCGCGGGGTGGGCTCTCGGGTGAGGGCACCCTCCCGGCCTCATCATTCCCCATCCCTGCTATTACCCCCTCCCGTTATCCTTCCTTGTTATCTCTCTCTTTACCCTCTCCCATCCCCGGTATCCCCCTCATCATCCCCCCCATCCCATCCTTCACTTACCATCCCCATTATTCATCCTCCCACTGTCTCCCCCATCCCCATTATTCCTCTCTGTTGTATTAGGCGCCGACGAGGCTACGGGATGTGACGCGATAGGACCTCCCCTGCTCAGTGGTTGGACAATGCATGCTTAAGGGGTGTAGACGAAGTAGGAGATGAACGTATTTAAACGGATGCCACACGGTAATAAACACCATCTTACCGTCCACCACGTTGGTGTATGCCGGCAGTTCTTGGCACTGATCAAGGAGCTGATCAGTTGAGCAAAGGGTGATACAGCATGACCTTAACATGTGTGGCAACACCTCCCCTCGTTATTCCCTGTTCTTTAGCCCTTACCATACACCATTACCTCCCCATCTCTGTTATGCTCCCACCATCCCCTCTACCCCCTCCATTTCCCCCCCCACCCCCATTGTTCTTTCCTCCCTCTCCCCTTCCATTACCCTCTCATCCTTATTCCCTCTCCATTACCCTTCCCATTATCCTCTTGTTATCCCCTTCCCTGTTACCCCCCAGCCCCCTTATTCCTCTCTGTTGCTCTCCCATCCCTGTTATACTCCCCATTATCCCCCCACCCCTGGTTGCAGACCGGCACTCCAACATTATCAACCCTCCCTTCCTGGGGCTGCTGGTTCTCCTCTCCAGGAGTCACAGAGCCCATTTTTGTGACAGGAAGGTGTTGAGGACCCACCTGCTTAGCCTTCAGTTCAGAGACATCCAGGTTGGGCACCAGCAACTGGTGCACGGCTTTGGAGAGCAGAGTCACACAGAATGGCTTAGGTTAGAAGGGACCTTAAAGCCCATCCCTGCCACGTGTAGGGACACCTCCCACCACATCGTGCTGCCCAAACCCCATCCAGCCTTTCCCTGAGCACCTTTAGAGATGGGGCAGCCCACACCAGGGCCTTTTTTGTTGCAGGGTGCCAAGGCGTTGGCTCTTTCCTTGCTGGCCAACACCTCTGTCACCTCGTTAGACCTGGGTGACAATTGGCTGCTGGGAGAAGGAGCAGCTGCAATTGCAGAAATGCTGAAAGAAAACCACTCCATTTCAGGTTTGTGTCATCCTTCCTGCTGTTCTGTGGTGGCTGCTTTGCTATAGAGGAAGAAATTGTGCTGTTTTCTTTGTGGTCTTAACCAATCCCCCTCTTACAGCAGCTCTGAGGCCTCTCCAGAGGCCAGAACTTTGCGTAAGCCAAACTGGTTGCAGCCCTGGAGGATGGATGTTATTCACTAAGAACGAGGTCAGCGTAAACAGCTGAGAATAGAACACAGCTTTCAGCTGAGGCTGCCCTAATCTGCTTTGTCAGGGCACCACAGATGGAAGTGTCAAGTTTGGTGCTGTGAAGCACCAAAGAAAATGGGATTTCCTTATTTTTCTTCTCTAGTGGTTGAATTCTGTAGTAGGCGTTTAGGGTTCTATTAATTCTGTGCTGGAGAAATTCATTCTATATACAGGTGGGCAGAGGAATTCAGGCTTCTGTTTTCTATGTTAAAATATAGCGTTAGAGCAGTTTAGACTTCTTACATTCTGAGTCTGGCACTGCTTCTCCCATTACAGTGTGGAGGCATCTGCTTGGCATCTGTCATAATATCATCTGATGATCTGATAATGCTTTTTCCTTCCCCAGCTGTCAATTTATCTGACAACAAAATGGGCATTGAAGGAGCTAAGGCCATTTCTGCTATGCTTCTAGAAAATACTACAGTTGTGGTCCTCCAGCTCTCTGGAAATGAGTTTGATGACCATGCAGCCAAGTATTTAGCAGATGCCATCACAGCAAACAGCAAAGTGGAAGTTCTGGATCTGAGTTACGACAAGTTTGGTGATAAAGCAGGTAAAGTGCTGTCTGCATGCCTTGCATAGAGAGCAGTGCTGCAGGAGTTCTGAGTTTCTTGCTTGCCTCAGGCCATTGGGGAGCACTTCTGCAGAATGTTCCTTGTGATGTCAGTGCTTATCCTTAACTCTTCATCCTTCATATGCTCATTTACTTCAGTTTGCTTCACAAGAGATGGATAAGCAACCTCTTTCTCCTCCTCCTCCTCTCCTCCTCCTCCTCTCCTCCTCCTCCTCTCCTCCTCCTCCTCTCCTTCTCCTCCTCTCCTTCTCCTCCTCTCCTTCTCCTCCTCTCCTTCTCCTCCTCTCCTTCTCCTCCTCTCCTCCTCCTCCTCTCTTCCTCCTCCTCTCCTCCTCCTCCTCTCCTCCTCCTCCTCTCCTCCTCCTCCTCTCTTCCTCCTCCTCTCCTTCTCCTCCTCTCCTCCTCCTCCTCTCCTTCTCCTCTTCTCCTCCTCCATTACTACTTTTGCAGGCTTCAGTGCCTTCTTTTCTCTCCATTCCTGTGCTTCTGACCTCCTGCTGCCTTCACAGTCAAATATCTCTCCTGTCTTCAGGTCTTGGCCATGACTTCTTTTTTTTTTTTTCCCATGCTCATCATGGATCTCATTTCCCATCAAACACTTACAGAGCATTTGCTGGGAAAGTCTCTTCAGATTTCAGAGCTGTAGGGGTGGCTAGAGAGCAGGGCTGGCTTCTCTGCCACCAGCCAGCTGCAGTTGGCTGGAGGCCAGAGCTGTGGAAGAATGAGAGAGTCTGTGGGATGCTACCTGCTGCTTGGTGTCAGCTTTCAGAGTCGCATGGGACTGGAGCTGTGCAATCAGCTCTTCAGGCTTGAGCCACAGACCGTGGCTCTGTTTTGTGCTGATTGGATTTTCTCTTCCACAGGCTGAATTTGCAGCCTGCAGTCAGAGAACACATACGCTTCTATTGTCTGGCAGCTTCTGCTTTGTGTCTGTGCTAAATAAGGTATAAAAGAAAATAACATTTTCTGCTTTTAATTGCTTGCCCAGATGGAACACAGACAACTGCAGAGAAATACCTAAACTAACCCAAGCTCCCTGCTTTGCAAAGCAGCTGTTTTAACTCTTAAGCTGTTTGGCACCACGTGTTTCTCTTAAGGTGAAGTTCTTGGAGTGGCAATAGCAGAAAACATCAGATTAAAGGAACTGAAAATCAGCTGGAACCATTCCCACAGTGAGGGAGCAGTTGCCTTGGCCAAAGGCGTGGGGGTAGGAAATGTTTTCACTCCTGTTTCAAATGCTGAAATCTCACATGAAGCTTTGTGTGTTTGTATGAGCATCAACGTCATCATGTGATGTTTGTCCACCAGCCATCTATGATCTGGGATCACACAGACCTTGGAACCAAGACAGTAAAATCATTCATTGTTTACTGACAGAGTACATATGTTTTCATTTCTCCACTTCTAGCTCTTTCCCTTTTTAGAGTCAAACTTGGTCTAATGAATGCTTTGAATTGTTTCACTGCACTTCTGATTCACAAATCAATATAGAAGTCGCTTTGTATTCTATATACAGTTTTTACTCTGCTCAAAGAAAGAAGCTTCTTTTAGTAATAAGGCTTTAAATTCAATGTCTATGTCATTTGCCACAGGCAAATGTGTTCCTCAAGGTGCTGGATGTTTCCTACAATGGCTTTGGCAACAGTGGAGTAGTTGCCTTGGGAGATGCTCTACAAGCCAACAACGTGCTGGAAGAGCTCAATGTAAGGTGAGTCAGGCTTTCATCCTGCTGCATGTTTTCTCCCATTCTCCAGAACCTACAGAAGTGAGGTATGAGAGAAAGATGTTATGTTTGGAGCAAGAATAGGACCTGTGCTTTGTTCAGTTCATGGCTTGTAGGGAGGCATGCTTAGGACTGGACTGGTGGTGAAACAGCAATGGAAGCAAGAAGCTGAGACCTCAACAAGTTTGTGGCCATTAATATAACTGATGGAAGTGGTTTTAGAAAAATGACCCCCCAAAAAAAGAAGAGCAGACAAAAGATGGTAGCAGGGAGCTGCCATGAATTCCCTCTGGACTGGTTTTCAGCACTGGGTGCAACAGGAGGTTGCCTATCCTTTGTCAGAGCACTGTGTGCAGTAACGTCTTGTATCAGCCTGGCTGTGTGGGCATGGAGAACCTGCAGCTCAGGCTGTGACTCATGCCATCCATCTGCTTTTAGCAATAATCATATTTTGGTGGAAGGAGCTCTGTGACTTGCAGTTGGCCTGAGAGAAAACAAGACTCCGAAGATCCTTAAGGTGAGTAACTTTGCCATGAGGAGGCTTTACTACTTTTGCAGGCTTCAGTGCCTTCTTTTCTCTCCATCCCTGTGCTTCTGACCTCCCGCTGCCTTCACAGTCAAATATCTCTCCTGTCTTCTGGTCTTGGCCATGACTTCTTTTTTTTTTTTTTCCCATGCTCATCATGGATCTCGTTTCTTTCCTGTCCCATCAGACACTTACAGAGCATTTGCTGGGAAAGTCTCTTCAGATTTCAGAGCTGTAGGGGTGGCTAGAGAGCAGGGCTGGCTTCTCTGCCACCATCAGTGTGGCTGATGGTTTGCTGTTGCTGTAGACAGTATTGTGCCAAGTGGTGTCCAGCTGAAAGAGACAAACTGGAGCTCTCACAGAGCCAAAGAAAAATATGTTGGGGGTGGGAAGAGCTGTTGTGTATCCTCCTGCTGTTTTCTTTCTGCCTTCAGATGATCAGAAATCCCATGCAGAACGAAGGATGCTGTGAGGTCCTCAAAGCTCTACAGGCAAATTCTGGCACTGGCATGGAGATCCTGGACCTGCCAGTAAGTGTGACAGCAGACTGAAGAGGGAAGGGAGGGAAGAAGCTGTGTGTGTGAATAACAAAGTGCTGCCGGAGGGATTCAGGCACAAGACTGAGCATCGTTTCAGGAATAGAGGCTTTCTTTCAGACTGGTAACTGCTTAGTGCCCTTAGGAACAAATAATTAGCAAGTACTTTGATTTTTCAAAAGAGAAAACCCATATCTTCCTTTGTGCTGCTTCATCACCTCAGATCTTCTTGCCCAGGAGCAGGGTGCTGCTGATCAGATGAATCTCACACCTACCCATAACGTGGGCAGCCCCAGGGAGGGTACATCATACCATGCACTTGCTTACCTGCAGTGATTCTTCCTTCTAGGACATTCCTGTGAGCAAAGAGTTGGCAGAGCTGTGTGAGGCTGTGCAAACACTTCTCCCAAATCTTCTTCTCCGACGTGGTGGAAGCACAAAATTGCAGAGGAAAAGTCTGTTGGCGGTCGGGCTTTGGCCTCAACCCAAAGTGTTGGGTAATTCCCATAACTCTGTGCCTTAATGTGAGTCTCTTTGGGGCTGCTGCTTCTGCCTGATGTCCCAGTACTGCTGAGCAAGCCAGTGACACAGGGACACCCCAGGGCAGCGCTGAAGGCAGGAGCTGTGGGAATGTTGGCTGTCACTCTGTTGCTGTCACTCAGAAGTTTTCCTGTCTGCTCACTTTTGAAGTTTTCTGCTGTGTCCATTCCTGAGTCTCTTCCAGCACGTGCAAGAGCTTCCACGTGGATGATGGCTCCTTTTTAATCATCATCTTTGTGCACAGGGCTGATGGAACACCACGTGCCATGGTCTGCTGCAGGGGAGCCTGCACAGCTCAGGAGTGCAGTGTGTTCACACAGCAAGCAAAGTTTGTCCAGAGCTGTGCTGCGCACAGATGCTTACTTTCTTCAGCTGTCCTGCAAACAGCCAGGCTTGCCTTTGCTGGACTGGCTGTCAGATGCAGTGGTGACTCATTTTCAGCTGCTTCCTTCCCCAGTTCCTTGGCCTTGTGAGGAGCTCATACTCTCCAGGGTGAAGACCCCATCCTAGGTCACAACTGGTGTTATTTCCCGGATGCACAACTCTTTCTTTTTTGAGTTTCACACTGGATGGATGCTATATGCTGCCAGGAAACAGGACGGGCACTCAGCAGTGATTCAGCACTGGCAGCAGCACAGTGGCTTTAACCCTTTCCCTCTCCCTGCAACGTGTCTGCCATCACCCAGCAGCATCCTCTCTGCTGCTGGGGAGCGAATAGCTCTATGCAGTTACATTTTGCAGAAAAAAAACCCTGTCCTATAGACGTACAAATTATTTTACATGTTATGTATCTAATAAATAACACCTGTGCCTGCGACTCCACTGTCCAAACCATTCAGAGAGGTCTCTTGCATGTTTTAAGCTCTGGAAATATTGGTTGTTGGCATTAGTGATAGTTTCTCCTTCATTATTTGGTAGGTTTTGTTTTGATTAGGGTCTGCTTGCAGCCTTACTCCTCTCCACCTTCTTGCAGACCAGCAGCCTGGCTCCTTGCAGCACTCCTGATCTGCTCTGATTGTTTCTGGCAGGTGAGCCTTCATGCTCCAGGCAGGCTCGTGGACCAGATCCACGTGAAACAGCTCTGGTGCAAGTCATGCTGGTGATCACATAATGTTTAGCTACTAATAAGCATCATTTGGGGCAGGGCTGGAACGGAGCAGCCTGCAGCACAACTCCGAGCTGCTCCACCAGCACTTTCACCTCTATTGCAATATTCAGTCTGATTTCCCCGTGCTGGGGATGAGGGAATGCACACACCTGGGGGTGTGCCAGTTTTCAACATCCTGCCTTTTTTAGGCCCAGGGACTGAGGATATTCACTGCTGCTGGGGATGAGCACAGTGCTTACCTCATCCTCAGGCTGTGTGTGCAGGAGGATGGGAGGCTCACGTGGGATAATGAGCGGATTACTTGCAGCCAGCCCTGCAGCTCCTCTGTGCAGGCAGGGTGGCAGATGGCTGAGAACCACAGGATTGGAAAAGGCCCCAAAACTCAGTGCTGTACCACTCCCCAGTGCAGTGGGGATGCTCACCCATGCAGTAGCCCCAAGCAGAGCCTGGCCCACAACACGTGTGAGCTGCCCCATGACCTCCAAAGCCGTGTCAGTTTTCCAGAACTCTTATACCACTCTGACCTACATACCTCACCCTGCAGCACTGCAATTAGACTGATCTCCACGCAATCCAGCCGGGCTGATTAGACCAATTCCACGAGCCCCAGAAAAATGCTGTTTCTTTTAAGGAACAAATCATTGTAGGATTGCTCCCTGGCTAGCGGTGGCTACTGAGAAAAAATGGCTTTGAGCATTATTAGGTGGACAATTTAAAACCAATTAATACGTGTTCTGTGTAGGGCACGTTACCTCAGCAGGATGTGGGATGGAACAGAAGAACCAACCAATCCTGTAACCCTGGGTAAGGATTGTAACCAACCCAATGGTGCTGCAGAGGGCACGCTCCTCCCAGGCCACCACAAATCACATCTCCATCATTAATTCCCTGCAGCCACGTCACTCCCCACCCACACACAGCCCACGTGGTCCCCACGGTCACCATCACTCTTACAGGTGAGCATTGTTTCTCTGCATTTTTACAACTCCATTGGGGTTGGTTAAGCTCATGTAACAATGCAGAACAACACCCATGCTGGGGCCACGCGTGTATTCCATGGCTTGTCTTTAATTCATGTCATTGACACTGAGTTTGCACTCAACTCAGGTCACAGCTCTGGGACAACACCACAGACCCTATCCCAGTGCCAGGACACTGCCCTGTTCAGCCCGGTCCCTGCAGCTGACATTGGGCTGAAAGCTTTTATGCATCCATAGGGCTCCAGCTCCCTGCCCCACGCCCACAGCTCTGGCCAAAAGCCATTCACTGCTGGGAAGAAGTGGGCTGTAAGGGGAACACAGCACATGCACCCATAGCCATTGCATAACCAGCGTTTATGGAGGTGAACAGGTCAGCCCGTTGCTCACAACCACTACACAGAAGTGCCAAACAGGGCCGCAGCAGGGCAGGGGCTGGGCAGCAGTGACAGTGCAGGGGGAGCAGGACATGGGCACTGTCCAGGGGTGCAGAGCCCCCAGGGGGACTGGGCAGGGGATAGGAGCAGCTCCCACCAGGGCATGGCCCCATAGGAGGATGCTGGGATGGTGTGGGGCAGAAGGTCTGCATTGCAAAGCCTGAGGGATTCAGCAGCCTCTTCCAGCACCCTCCAAAACCTGCACCTGGGGGGATGACATCAAAAAGCACCCACTGAGCCCATCCCGAGCCCCTGGGAGCCAGGGAAAGGCAGCACCCAAGCCCAGAGGTGTGGCAGTTGCTGGGGCACAGGGGAAGGGCACAACCTGTGCCACCCTTCCCATGGTCCTGCCTACAAACCAGGTCCCTGCCTGCACGCTGCCATGTCCCATCCCCAGCTCGTGTGGCCCTGGCTGCTCCTTGTGCCTCTCAGTGCTGGCATTGAAGGGGAGAAGTGCAGGCAGAGGGAACAGCAGCAGGGCTCAGCAGCAGAAGCCAGGATGAGGCTGGGATGGGCACGCTGCCTGTCTCCATCCTCCATCCATGCAAGGCGGTGGGGATGAGCTGGAAAAAGGGAATTTGCTGCATGGCATCTGGGTGGGCGCAGGGTGGGGATGAGGCTCCCTCTGAGCATGGCAGGCACTGGGGCTGGGGGCAGAGTGCTGCTCTCCAGTGCTGAGAAGGAGGGGGCCAGCCCCACCATGCTCTGCAAGGAGAAGTGAGCAGCACCCCTGGACAGAGCCCTGCACCCGGGCAGCCCTCGCCACACAGGGGTCAGGCAGAGCAGAGGGGTCCGGAAGGTGGGTGGGCACTGCCAGAGCCACACAGCCCCCTCCCATGGGCATCATCTCTTGACCTCAGTGGTGTCGGTGTCTGGCAGCCCGGCGGCAGGCTGAGGGCTGGGCTGCACTGCCTGCACCGTCTCCTCCAGGCTGCCACTGGGGAACACCACGTAGCGGGCACTGACACGTTGTGGTCGTGGCTCCCGTAGGTTCTCCTTGCTGTGCCAGATGCCGTAGCCAAAGTAGACGAGCAGGCCTGGAGTGAGGGAGAGGGAGGTCAGCACGTCCACCCAGCAGCACAGCCCTGGCACAGAGGTCCTGGCTCAGCCTTGCCATCAGGTCCCAGGACCTGCAGCAGGTGCTTTCCTCTTGCCAGGAGAAATGGTTTCTGGGTACCGGGAGCACTTACCAAGGATGAGCCAAATGGCAAAGCGGAGCCACGTCATGTAGCTGAGCTTCAGCATGAGATAGATGTTGAGGACAATGCTCAGTGCTGGGGACAGGGGAACCAGGGGGATCTGCAAGAGATGGAGCCAGTGGTGAGGGATTGCCAGCTGTGCCACAGGACTGCATCCCACCCAACCACACCTGCAACCCAGGTGATGCTGCTGACACCAATACCCTATGCCAATCATAGAATCACAGCATAATTGGGTTGGGAGAAACCTTGCAGCCTCCCCAGCCCCAAACCCTGCCCTGGGCTGGTTGCCCCCACCCGCTCAGGCTGCCCAGGGCCCCATCCATGGCCTGGAGCACTGCTGGGGATGGGGTACCCACAGTTCTCTGGGCAGCCTGGGCCAGAGTCTCAATACCCTCAGAATAAAGAATTTGCCCCTAACAACTTCCCCCTAACATCAGCATGGGACCCACCTGGAAGGTCTGGGTGCTGCGCTGCTGCTCATGTGCCCAGATGAGGAGGAGGCTGAGCACAAAGCCCAGGCTGAAGAGGACGAGCAGCAGGAAGTAGCTCCAGGTGGGCAGGTGGAGGTGGGTGTTGCCAAACACCAAGATGGAGCAAAGGCAGACAGCAGACACCATCAGGGTCACCACAGCCACCGTGACCACCTCGCCCGGGTAGAAGTCACTGAGAAACTCCAGGTAGGGCTCGAAGGCTGCCTTCAGCTGCCCTGGCTCACGATGCTCCTTGCTCTTGTCACTCCCCACCAGCTGCAGCTTGTCGGAGAAGGACTCGTACTCCTTCAGCTCGGGGGCAGCGATGCCCTCACGTTGCTCAGGGTTGGGCTGGCTGCCGGCCGGCTGCGCGGGGCCATCCGCCTTCTGCTGCTGGAAGCGCAGCACGATGATGCTGGCGGCCACGAAGGTGTAGGCCAGCAGCGTGCCGATGGACAGGAACTGCACCAGAGCCTCCAAGTCAAAGACAAGGGCCAACAGGGCCATGAGCAGCCCAAAGACCACGATGCCGATGACGGGCACCTGTGTGCGCGGGTGCACCCGGGAGAACACCTGGAAGAAGAGCCCGTCCTCGGCCATGGCGTAGACAATGCGTGGCAGGGAGAAGAGGTTGCTCAGCAGGACCGTGTTCATTGCTGAGGGGTGGGCAGAGAAAAGGACCCCACGTGAGAGTGGGCCCCAACCAAACCAGCACCCGACCCCGCGCTCTCCCACCTCCTCCCACAAACCCACACTCACCGCAGATGGAGCCAGCAGCCACCAGGAATCCTGCCCAGGAATAGCCCCTCCTGTAGAAAGCGTCAGCCAGGGCAGAGTCGGGATCCAGCGTGTGCCAGGGCACCATCAGTGTCAGCACCATGGACACGAGGATGTAGGCACCGGTGGCCAACCCCAAGGAGAACGCAATGGCCCTGGGGACGGCCTTCTGCGGGTTCCTGGCTTCTTCGCTGGAGGCTGCGATGACATCGAAGCCCACAAAGGCGTAGAAGCAGGTGGCCGTGCCAGCCATGATGCCCGACAGCCCATAGGGGGCAAAGCCTCCTTCCTGGGCACTCCAGTTCTTGGGCTGCGCAAGAACGAAGCCCATGATGAGAATGAAGAGGATGACGCCCATGCTGACAGCCGAGAAGACGTGGTTGAGCCAGGAGGACACTTTGGCCCCAAAGGAGATGAAGGCGGTGGCCACCAGCAAGATGGCAGCTGCCAGGAAGTCAGGGTAGTGGGCCAGGAAGGGCACCTGCCAGATGCCAACGTGGGTCTCGGTGAAGTTCTTAATTTTGTGGTTGAAAATGGAATCCAGGTAACCGCTCCAGGCCCTGGCCACCGCTGCGCCCCCAATCATGTACTCCAACAACACGTTCCAGCCGATGAGAAAAGCCCAAATCTCACCCACGGACACGTAGGTGAACATGTAGGCAGAGCCCGTCTTGGGCACCCGGGCCCCAAATTCAGCATAGCAGAGAGCAGCCAGGAGGGAGGCGAAGCCAGCAATGATGAAGGAGACGATGACAGCGGGGCCGGCGATCTCCTTGGCCACGGTGCCCGTGAGGACATAAAGCCCAGAGCCCACCATGCCCCCGATGCCCAGCAGCGTCAAGTCGATGGTGGAAAGGCACCTGTTGAAGGATGTCTCCATCATGTCGGCTTCCAAGGTCTTCACTCTGTTGAGTTTCTGGCAGAAGCGGGTCAGGTCCGTGGAGCGGGGCAGCCATCTCGCCATCCTGCAGGTGCCCTGCTGGGAGAACCTGGTGGGAAGCAAGAAGGCATGAAGAGCAGCAGATTGGGAATGCTCTGGTTCCATTCTGCTGCGTGACCCACTGGGACCAGAGAAATGGTGGTGGAATCACCGTCCCTGGGTGTGTTCAAGAACCATGGGGATGTGGCACTGAGGGATGTGGGCAGAGGGCATGGCAGGGAGGATTAGAGATCTGAGAGGTCTTTTCCAACCTTAATGATTCCATGACTGAACACCCCTGTGCTTCTCCTCCACTGCCTAAATCCCGTCTCTTTGCAGAGCTTAGGAAAGCTGGGCACAAGGAGGGGAAGTCACACATTTCCTTGGGTTCAGACCTGCTGAGCACGGACATCCCCTGCTCTGTAGTGTGCACTGGGGTCAGCGCTGCAGTGTGCTGCTTTAGGCACTGTGCAGCAAGCCATGCCTGGAAAACAGGTGGAGGGGAACCGCAGCACCCCCAGTACAGCATTTCCCCATCCTTCCCTTTTTGAAAGATCACTGTTAGAACACAAACCAACCCACTCCGGGCACAGCAGACCGCGCTGCTGCCCGGCACCTTATCCATCACCTCCCTGCCCAGAGGAAGCCCCGGTGTTCGGAGAGCCCACCAGGGGACCACGCAGGGTCTGCGCCGGCCGCTTCCCCGGGGTCAAATCACGGAACCACCAGGACGCGACGCTCTCCATCTGCAGCTCGGGGGCTGCTCCCTGTTCCCCAAACCCTGCTCAAGACGGCTCACGAGCAGCTCCCCCAAACCTCCGACCTACAGCCGGGTTCCTCCCAGCACCGTCCACGGGAACAGAGCCGCGGTGACACGCACGCAGCTCCGCATCCGTCACCGGGATCAGAAGAAGCGGAGCCACCGCCCTTTGTCCGTGCGGGTGTTGATCCAGGGCGGGGGGGGGGGGGGAGAAACCTCCTGGCTCCGGAAGAAAGGCGAAATCTCACCCCGACATCGAACCCCAAAGCTCCCCCCCCCCTCCAGCATCGCTCACCTTTGTGCCCCGGCGGCTCCGAGCGCGCGGCCGGGGGGGTCCGCGTGGCTCCGGCCCCGCACCTGCACCGCACCGCCGCCGCCGCCGCCGCCCCGCCCCGGTCCCACCTCCAACACGGCGGTGGGCGGCTGCCACCTGGTGGGTCCGCTGGGGTAGATCTGTGCGAAGCCTGGAGATGGACTCCGAGATCCTCGTGGGTCCCTTTCAGCTGCGGGTTCTGTGATGCTCGCAGCTCAGACGGAGGAGTGCGGTCCCCATCGGGCCTCGCACAGAACCGTTTCTGGGATGAAGGAACCGTGGTTGGATGTGGGTGCACCGGTGGTTTCATAGCAGCAAAACGTTTCTTATTTCCTTCTCTGCTCCTATCTAAATGCATCATTTGATTCCATGATAGCTACTGAGCACTAACGCTGACATTTCTGGGGACCTGGCAGCCACCACCCCAAATACTTCCAGTGTGATGAACAACTCGGAGCCTGTCCTTCAACATTCAGTGCTTCCACGTACATAAACTCACCTTCACCCACCCCAAATCCATGTCCTCCCTTGGAGGGGCCCACACTGGTCAGCCCAGCAAAGCACAGGAGAAAGCAGCAGGAAATTCACCTTGTTTCTTCCTACTATTGCTCACTGCTCCTCCTCCAGCGTGTGTGCCTTTGCTCACCTTCTACCAGCCCATGGTAACTGGATCCTATTGTGCATTGTTTCTCCATGCTGCTGCTGGCAGCACTGAGGCTTTGGCAGTGGCTGAAGCCACCTGAGATGCCATCAGGCACACAGCAGGTCCCCAGCCAAGTGTTCCTATGGCACCCAAGAGCTGCAGGGCTGCACAGAAGCAGAGCCAGCAGCAATCCAGCCATCTGCTGCTGCATTTCCAGCTGGGGCAGATCCTCTGGGTCACTCTCATAAGATCCAACACCATTGCAGGAGAAGGGCTGCAGCCAGTCCCTTGGGAAGGGTCACTGATCACGAGCTACACCAGGAGCTTTATTCTCTTAAAATAATCTTTCCAACAACTGAACCACATCTGAGAATGCCGTGAGTTGCTCAGAAAGCTTCAAAGAAAAAGAAAAAAAAAGAAAAAAAAAAGAAAGAAACCCTATGACCTGAGGCAGGCTGCAGGCATGGAAAATTTCAGCAGGGATTGTTTGCCTGGCAGAGCCGTGTGCAACTGAAACCAGATGGTGGGAGCAGGAAGCTCTGTTGTCATGGTGTTGCTGGAGCAGCCTGCTGCAGATGCCACAGCCTTGGAGAAAGCTAGGGTGGGTGACAGAGCCCTGCACATGCCATGTGTTGGGGGCTCTGCTCTGCTTAACACTGGGCTGTGAAGCTGTGCAGTGATGCTAAGGGGCTGCATTTGCTGCCTGCAGGTGCTCCAAGCTCCTCCAGCTACACTGCAGGCTCTGCTGCTGTCTGGGAGCATCAGCTCCAGCCTCTTTGCTTTTCACAGTGTTGCAGAAATTCAGCTCCAGTGTGTTCCTATCTATAGCAGAGCCAGCTCTCCCTACCAAAAGGCCACCCACAAACTCTGCCAGCACCTTTGCAGTTTCCTTATTTGAGTTGGTGACAGCCCCAGTTTGCTGAAAATCTCTCTGGCTTCAGCCATCTGCTTTTGTAAGGACATAAAGGCTTACAGCACCTTGAATAAGGGGCAGTACCCCATTTCCTAGCTTCAGTAATTAACTGCATACTGAATCTTCTAATATTGTCTTCTGCTGTGAACAGAGGCTGTTGTAGTAATAGCAGAGGATGCAGGCAAGAACAAACAGCAGCACAGAGGAGAAACCTCCCAAACACAATCCTTGGCTGTAGAACTGCTGGAGAACCTTTAAGCAGTGATCTGTGTGTCATCAAAGCCCTTCAACACAGGATGCTAGAAGTCCTTGATCCATTTCCAGCAGCTGCTCTGACTTGAAAAGCCACTCATCCATGAAAATAACTGCTTTCTGATGCTGCCTCGCACCATCCTATCTCCTGTGAGTAGCCAACACTGTGCATCAGCTGGCACATTTCTTGCACACACAAAGCCCTGATTGCACACAAGTGCTCCTGTTCCTCCTGTGCACCAAGTCCTGGGGGTCGCAGGGTTCACCAGCTCATCCCTGAGAGTTCTCAGCACCACTCCAGCTCCCCAGCTTCAATGCAGCACAGACCCAGAGCAGGGATAGAAAACCCATACGTGTGACCATTGACCTTCAGAAAACTGCAGCCCCAGAGGGCTGTGCAGAATATTTCCATCCATTTGGAACTGTTTTAGAGTAACAAAGCAAAAGCTCCCATGTCTTTTTGGCTACCTGAGTCAGATGAAAGCACCACTGACATCATGCCATAGTTCAGTACAGAATTTTAATAGAACTCAGAGGAGAATTCCACGTTATCCACCTCAATGTCTCTCTGTGAAGTGTCTGCCTGTTATTTCTGCCTCAGCACACACAAACACATCTTGCTGTAGATACAACTTCAACTTTCTTTTTTTCCCCACCTGCCAACCATCTGCACACTGAGGCTGCAAAGGAAAGCAACCACACTTTGCTTCCCTGTCTGTTAGGACAGTTACTCACCTCTCCCATCCCTTCCTCGCTTTTGGAAGAGCAGATCATAATTTAGAGATGACACTGCTCACTGCAGGCTGGATGTGGCAGATTAATACTCTGTCAGCCCTTGTCTTAGCAACTCAGTGCAACACAGCAGGAAGGGCAACTTGCTTCTTGCTTCACTGGGTAGAAGGGCAGCCTGGAGCTCTTCAGCTATCCCCTCTGCTCTGGAGGTCTATCTCTAAAGGTAACCTAAGGGTTACAGATATTCTGCAGTTGCAGGCCAGTAGCCTCTTTCTAAAATAACATAAAGCAAATGCATTAAGTCTATTCTTTAGAGGGAAGTCAGAAGAAAACTCCTTCCTGTTCAGGGAAAAGCCTTCTCCGACTCAGATTCCTTCTGCTGCAACTTCCGAATCAATTCCAGTAAGTTCATCTGTAAAGTCAGCTCCTGGAAAGGAAGAAAGACATTCATGCAAGGGTAAGAAGATCCCATTCCCTTCTGCAGGAAGCAGAAAGGACTCATTTGTACCATGGTACCATTCAGTGCCTGATCCTTTTCCAGGAGAAGATTCTCCAAAGGTCATCAACACCAACATCACTGCTGTGATGCTGCATACAATTCCCTCCTGCATTCTCCAAAACACCCAATTTTCCACGGCTGTCACTTAGTTGACATCACCACCTCCTATAACCACCAACAGCAGCTTATGGCTCCCTTATACTCCTCTTGCCATCTGCTTGTTCTTCACTCGTGTTTAGCTCACAAACCATGCAGCACAGACTGCACTTCCCCTGCACATGGTGCAACTTTCAGTTTCTGCTCTGAGTCAGGCTTGTAGACATTACATCATGGGAATAAAAATCTATTTTTGTAAAAA